TTTCCCACCTTATACATGTAATATATGTAAGATTCCCACCCAATTTTAATCTAAAATGTATGTAGGCATTAATTTGTTTTGATAGAAAAAGAGTGTTTACACTTGTGTGGTGTTTGTGGTCATAGGAAATACTTTTTCATGATACCCAAGTATTTTAGTATGCGTGAACTCTGAATAAGTCCATGCTCATGTGTTACTTTTTTTAAAAAAACGTAGTTTGAGGTCATTGTTTTATTTGTAATTGGTTAAGGAATTAGAAGAATGCCAGAAGCTTTTCTGAGGATTTACATTTTCTTAAAGCAATTCACTCGTGCTTTTGGTTTTTAAAGTACAATGATTATCTGCTAACCACAACCAGCAGTTTTTATAGAATACAATTGTTTTCTTGTCTTTGTATCTAATTTTACAAAGGCTCAAAAAAGGATTTCAAGATGTTTAAGTAATTGTTATATTTCAAACTTTTTTTACTAAAATAAGTTAGAGAAAACTGATAGGTCAGTATTTAGATTTCATTTGCTTTATCTACAGAATAAACAGCACATATTTACCCCCATCTTACTGAGAAGATACTTAAAATTCGAGGGCAACTTTCTAGAGAGTTCAGAACACATTTTAGTTGTAAGACACCACTGAACTCGGACCAGCCAGAACACATTTTAAAAAACAGGGCTAATACTAAGGGTTTGTATTTTGATAGAATTTTAGAATCTATACCCACTCCCCCAAAAATGTTGACATACTTTGTCATTTACTTCTCATTTAAGGGCTGCAGTACTCTGATCATTTTAGAAATTAAAAAATGAGGCCCAGTCCGGACACTGTTTTTCAGTGGTTGACCATTGCTATGAACCAGGAGTCCACCATTCAGTTCCAGGTGTAGGCACATGCCCGGGTTGCAGGCTCCATCCCCAGTAGGAGAGCTTGCAGGAGGCAACCTATCAATGATTCTCATCATTGATGTTTCTTACTCCCTCTCCCCTTCTCTCTGAAATCCAATAAAGATATATTTTTAAAATAAAATACTGAAACCCAGAAGACCATGCAGCCAGGAATCTGAGATGTACAAATCCCAGTTATTTGCTCATACAGCACTATGTTGTTTACTTTTTTTTTTTAAGAGTGCATGTACTTCAGGGCCTCTGAGCCATTAGTGGATTTTGCTAAACACAGTTATAGCTTAATTTTCCATTATGGATTAACGTCTCTTTCATTTTAAAGTACTGGAGTAAAAGAACTTTAGGAAAGAAAATATAATTGACTCAATTTAGTTATGAGTAACCCTAAGACATAGCTAACCAAAATTCCCTTCTGCCTGAGGTGAAACTGTTGAGAATCTGCTGCTGCCTTTTTACTATAAAAACATGTTTACAATAAAAACAGATGTTGGGGAGGGGGGGCTTGAAGTCTTATTTGGGATGACTGACAGCTCAAATCTGGGTGGAGTACATAAGCAAGTGCTGTGTGATAGAATTAATAAGGAATTCAGAAACTGGTGCCGAGCAGCTCTGAGAGCTCTACCTACTATATGGAACTTACCTTGGATCTTGTGGTAAGGGAAATGAATATTGATGGTATAGATGTGACAGTGAGTGAATAGATTGCTGGAATAGTGACAGATGATAGATTGACTAAATATATGCAGTCAGATAATGGAGGGTTTGGAATTTTAAATTTATGAATTTGGATTTAATCCAATATGCAGTGAGAGCCATCTATGGATTATTAATTCTGGGAGTGGCATAATGAAAGAGATTTTAGCAAAGAACAAAGAGACTGGTACAGGAAGAGCAGCAGGGCACAGTTTAAATATTTTAGGCCTGGCTGGAGTTGCCCAGTGGTTGAGCATGGACCTATGAACCAGGAGGTCACCTTTCAATTCCTGGTCAGGGCACTCGAAGGAGACATTCAAAGGCAGCCCATCAATGATTCTTTCTCATCATTGATGTTTCTCTCTCTCTCCCCCTCCTTTCCTCTCTGAAATCAATTTTTAAAAATGTATTTTAAAAAATATATTTCAGGAAGGAAATTATGAAAAATTTGGTCTAAACAGGACATCAGTGGGATGTTAAGAATGAGACATTTTTAAGGGCTCCAAGAGAATAGTGGTGCTCATAAAATAGGTTCTTTAAAAACAATTTGCTTGAGACATGTATATATCACGTTAACAGAAGTATTTTAAGTGAAAATGTCTTTTGGAGCTGGGAGTTGGCACTTGAGCTATGACTTTGTGGGTCTTAAAAAGAATGAGTTGTGTGTTTCACACGGCTTCAACTAAAAGTGGGATTTCCATCTCAAGAAATCTTAGTGTCCTTTAGAGAAATTAAGGCGAATGGAAATTAAGCTTTTCTTATTTCACTTATTTTTATTCTTCTCTTCCCCTAGATTTTTTTAATGAAACTTAGAAAAATATTGAGTCCAATTATATTCTCATACAATGGCCCCGATGTTTTTAATAGAGGTTAATGATTATTGTGTGGAAGCCCATCTTATAATTCCACAATTGTCTATGCTTTAAAGTACATTTAAAGAGGAAAAATAATACTTATTCCTGCCCCCCTTTTTAGAGCTTACTCTTATTTTCTTAAGAGACTCCTAGGGTTCCATACACACACACACACACACACACACACACACACATATGTGTGTGTGATTGACTAAATAATACAAATGAAGAGCAAAACACAAGTTCATCTGTACCAATTTGGGAATTAAAATTTGTTGATATTTTGTTGAACAGCAGAAATAGGGGAAGATTTATTTCTTATCTGAAACCTGATTTGCAATAATAGGAGCAGTGACTACATCATTCAAAAGCCAGCTTGGTGACTGGCTCCTTTTTAAAATAAAAAACAAACAACAAAAAACCTAAAACTCGGTTTTTTACTTTTCTGTTGATGAGAGTTTAAAATAATGTAAATAAAATTGATTTCCTATTTTATAGATAAAATGTCCGCACTTTAGCTTTCAGTTCAGCTTTTTCAGAAATTTAATTTCCTCTCTCATCACATCAACCTATTAGAAAAGGATAAAGCCTCCTTTCTTATAGTAGGGGTTGTATTAAACTTGATACAGTCTTATTTGTCTTGGGTTTTCTTCCTAAAATTAAGTACTATTGTTATCCGGTTTTTTATATTATTATTATTAATTGATTTGAGAGAGCGGGGTGAGAAAAACAGAGACATCAATTTGTTGTTCCACTTATTTATGCATATATTGGCTGATTCTTGTATGTGCCCTGACTGGGGATTGAACCTATTGGGACAGCACTATAACCAACTGAGCTACCCGACAGGGATCATCTAATTTTGATGCTCAGATTTTTACATTTGAGATTTCTTTCACTGAAGGGTACTAATTTGCTCAATACAAGTAGAAGGTAGCATTTTTAAAAGGAACAATGCAACTAATTGTAGCCACAGAGCATAACTGTAATTTTACAGATTTGTCATAGATGCTGCTTAATATTTGTACCATTTCTGAAAGAGAATTAGTTCAGTTTTGGGACCTGAACTAATATTAAGAGATTTAAATATTTACGAATGAGCTCCATTAAAAATACAAATAAACTTATGGACTTGATTTTGTAAATGAACTAGTTATTTACCTAGGATATAACAAGTGTGAAATAGCCATGAATAATTAGCATAATAATTTCGTAGAACTTGCCAGACAGTGTGAAAACTCTTTGTAATATCAGTGGGTGCTTAGATATCAAATAACTAACCATGGAACCTTTGTAAAAGGTATATGTTTACATGCTGAATTAATACTGATAATGTTCCTATGTCATAACAGATTTAGCAAGACAAGTGGAGGTGAGAAAATGGCAAAGGTCAAATTGGAAAAAGAATCAGTAAACCCTGTGAAAGAAAGTTGAGGTGAATAATGAAAGGAAATGTGGTTTTTTCTTCCCTCCTCTAAGTTACTGCCATGTATAGTTGTGTGTAGTCCTTATTGTCTCATAATTTTCACGAAAGATGTGACTAGGCCTGACCCATCTGAAGTAGAAGGAAAAGTTTATTTTTCCTTGAAACTAAGGCCCTAGTCTTATTCAAATTCATAAGTACTTCATGACATTAGAAAATGAGAACATAAGTAGAGAGTACTATGACAGGTTCTTATTTTAGTAGTTTGTTTTTAGTTGCTGTTTACTGGCTTTATTATACCTAAACCTTTTTAGTTCTTATAAAGTTGTTTTCTATGCCTTTGAAATTGTCACTTAGTACACTAGCTTTTTGGATTTAATTGATGATGGCATATAAGCTGGCAGGTTTATGAGCCACATTTAAAATATCTGTGAGTCTTTGCAGATACAAAGACCACTCTAACCTCATTCAGAATACATCATATAGGTATAACCTTAAAGATAGGGAAATCATTTAAAAGTAGCTAATGTTGTGAGAATTTAGGGGTTTTTGTTTGTTTTTTTAAGGAATTGCTCTAATAGTTGTTAGGGACTTTTATAAGCCTAGGAGTCTGTAAAAGAAGCAGCCTATCATACTCGAGAAAGGAGACAGAACTGCTATTTCTGTAGACTGAAATGAAAGAATTGAGTGAAAGCAGGTTTTCATAATGTCCTAAAGAGTGAGGTTCTTGGTGCAGTACAATATAAGTTATTTGGGTAATTTAAGCACCCCCTCCCTTGGACATACAATTTACCTAAATGCACTAGTGTATTTCTATGGAAATAGATACCCAACTTCATAAAACAGTGGTGAAATATATTTTGAGAAAGTTTATTTTAAAAGTTTACATTCTAGTCATATAGATTTGAATTGTGTAAACTTGCCACTATTACTTGGCATAGAGTTTGCCTTGCCATAGCAGTAGTATGGGTTACAGTGTAGCATTTATATTGGATTATGTGTTTAAGTATTAAGCATGTATTGGTGTAAATTTTTTCACCTATAATATGATACTAGCTTTATTAAAAAGCACTGCAGTTATTGCTTGCTGTGGAAATTGTGTTCTGCAATGTGTGCATATATTGAATAACCCATTTTCCTGATTAAAATAGTAGTATGTGGTTGTTGCAGTTATTTTCAATATGTAAAATACAACTGTATTTTAACACAGAAAAGAAAGATGGCTCCTAGATGGCTTTATTGAATACTCGTAACTTCCTTAATATTTATGGTTAGCTTCTTCCTTTTGGGGGCGATGGGGGAGGAGGCTATGTCCAGCTACCAGCAGAGGTACCTTGATAGTAAACAAGTTAAAAGAACAAACACGTTATTTGAGCAGGTTGTGCGGTGAGAACTTTTTGCTTGGCTTTTGATTTATAGTGGTTATGATGGAATGGAAGCCTATTTAAGACTTACATTAAAATTTGTGATATGATTTGGTTGCAGGTCAAAGGTAAAAAAGGAAATGTAGCATTTGTCCGTAAAGGGCTCATTGTAGCCTGGTTTCTAATGTACAGTTCAGTGAAAACGACATTTATTTGGCACTAACATTGGAGAAATAAGTTGCTTAAAAATGGTAAATATTAATAATGACCATTTTTCTGTGTGTGAAGACTATTAACAACTAGTTCTTAGGACAGGCCTTTTTTAGTATAAAAATTTTGAAGAATTAAAGGTATATTTTATTTTAATTTTTTTCTCTATATAGTTTATATTTTTTGTGTGTTTTTTTTCCTTATAATTTATTTTTTAGGTTAAGTGTACTGAACCTAACCTTTATTTTTTTAAAGTCTCGAGTTTATACATTGTTTTGGGAGAGTAAACCAATAGTGACAGCCTTGAAACTAGGAGTTAAGGGGAGTTAAGAGGACTGTTTCTTAACCTTGAATGATTCTATGAAAAAATGTATGCAGATTTAGGTTAGGTTCCCTGCTAAAACAAAATTGAAGGATAGGCAACAAAGGAAGTTAGATATTTGTAACACTGGATAATAAAAAGCAAGTCTTCTTTAAAAATATGCTAATGTCTTTTGAGAAGATACTGTCATATCTTAATACTTTGTTAGCAAATAAAAGGAAAATTGCATTTTTCTCAATGAGCTGTGCCAGCACTGGGATTTAAAATTTAAGATGTTACTGATTACCTTATTTACATTAGTTTCTAAGAAGTGGTAATTTTCATTACCACTGAATAATTTTCAACCATTAGTCATGCTGATGAGAGAACATTTGAAAATGAAATATACACATATATTTGTGCCTTAACATTTTTATCCTTTACTAGAAAGCTTCACATAAACATTTAAGAATAAATTTGGTGTTTTAATATATAGGATTTTTATTTCTGTCCTAGTAAAATGGAAAGTTTTCTGGTGTCACAGAGCACAAAGCCTTCTGATATGTATTATAACAAGGGCTGTGCTGATGTTCATAGGCACTGTTCCATCTACTACTATTCTACAGTAGTATAAATGAATGTTATACCAGAGGATTTGTTTTATAGACAGGAAAGCAAAAAGAGAGGGGAAGATATTCTTAAATCAGCGTAGTTAGTGAGCCAGTCTGTGAGACTGCAATTACAAGCAAATTATTTGTGTCCCCCACCCCTTTTTAAAGTACTGAATATGCTGCTTTTACAGTTTCAGAGAATCAAACGGCCTGAATTGCTGTTCCTGCTCCAGGCTTCTGTCCAGAAATTTAGAGAGTATGTGAGATATTGTGTAGATAGCTAAATATATTCAGTTTTGTTTTCATCTGAAAAAATAAATGTGCATAGCAGCATTAGTACAGTTTTTGACATTAAGTTAAATGTAAAGGAAAAGTTGTAAGCAGGTTGCATGGTAGGAAGTCTTTTAGTTTGAAATTGTTTGATTTGGAAAGTAGTTGTTTTTAATTTCAACTTTTTCAGAAGCCAGTTTTCTGGTATAGGATATAGTCACTGAAGGGGGAGTATAAATAATGCATAACTGCATAAAATCTGCAAAAACTATGAACAAAAGGAGGTGGGATAAAAAATAAAGACCATGTTATAATTTTGTGATAAATTCTTGTGCTATATGATACTTAATGGGTAATACAGAGTTTTTAAATGCCACAGGTGCAAATATACATATATTAGGAATTTACAAGCGGGGGGGGGGGGCGGAATTTTAAAATTTCATGCTTTCCCCCTTTTTCAGAATGCTTGTCAGAACTTATCTTCCTGGTTAAGTCGGAGTAAGCAAAGATAGGTCAAACAAAATCCGGAGGTGTTAGTAATTGTACTAATTTTTTTCTACTCCTTTGAACCTTAGCATGTGTCCTGCAGTGTTTGAGTTTAGATAGGTGTGTGCAAATATTTCAGGGTAGGATGCTTTGCATGGCTTAGTGAAAGCTTATTCTTCAGGTTATAAATTAGTGAAAATGTAGGTGGGGGATTATAGTTCATGTTAGATTTATGCTCGAATTAAGTATTCATATTAAAATTGTTCACATTTTAGGAACTAGGATGAAACATGAAAGGGGAGGAGGGTGAAGAGTATGGTAAAAACATTTAGAAAAATTCAGAATTCCCTAATTTTTAGAAACTAGACTTTTGAGCAGTTTTAAAGATTATAAAATTGTTTTTTAAATAAACTAGTTATTTGCACTTTACCTGCTGGCTTTCCATTTGGTAGATAACATTCTGAACTCCAGCAGAGTTTTATAATCCCCACGTGCTTAAATATACTAAATGTTCTTTTTCCATTAAGGTTAATGTTCGTGAAGAAATTGAAGAGTTTTTTCCAAGAATGTGGAAGATAAATCAAGATAAAAGAAGGCTAATGAAAAGTATTAAAGATCAGAAAATTAAAATTGAATGGGGGAAAAAATTGAACAGAAGATTGGTCAGATAGAAGCACTTGAATATTTTTTTAAGGCTATTTTGAATTGTTTGAATTGGGGAAGAATACACGAAGTATGAAAAATGAAAAACTCAATGAAGAATGAAGAGAAGTAGAAAGCAAGAGTGAAGTAGAATTAAAAGAATCTGGAAGAATGAATGGGTCCTAGGTTAAGTAAATGTATGGTTTATGTTCCAGTGTCTGTATGATCAAGTTGTAGATGAATTTGCATGATTACTTAGTTAATAGAGAATTGGTGATCTGGTTCAAGTAGGGAATTATTGAGGACAGTTAGCAGTATTAACAATGGGTTATTAATGAGTTGAAATTTTTTCTGGAGGGTGTTGCCTAACCATTTGTTTTTTCAGGAGCAATCAATATAAATAATTACGGTACTTTAAATGTTAGGTGTTAGGCATCTACTTGACCAGTGCCATTTGTAATACTGTCTTCTTTGTTAGGAGTCTCGCTCTCAGTCAAAATCTCCAATGGGAACTCCTGCTCGTGTAAAATCGGAGAGCAGGTCAGGATCTCGTAGTCCGTCAAGGGTTTCCAAACATTCTGAATCCCATTCTCGATCAAGATCAAAATCCAGGTATGTGTGTTTAAAATAATACTTAAAATGCTTTTTTAGGGTTTTTCAGGGCAAAGTAGTGTTTGTTTTTTCTAAAATCCCTTATTTATACCCCATTTTATATAGACATTTTATCAATGATTCAAAAATTATGAAGTAGTTTTTTCAAACTGCTTAGTAATGGAGTTTAGAAATGAATAATACATTCTAGATACAGACTTAGATAAGGTAGAATTATCTCAACTCAATCTATCAGATACTAGCTAGCTATTACAACAAATTAAATGTCAGTTGATTGAAAAGTGCTTGACATTTGAGCATTAGTTTTCTTATTTTATTTCAGTAATACTTGCACAACAAAATAATTGTCTTGGCATGTAATTTAGTACAGAGAAAGTTGATGTAAGTATGTTGGGCTGGTTATCAAAATGATTTGAGAAGCTTTTTCAAGATTCACATTCCATCTACATTCTTTATCTGAAGATTCTGACTGAAGTCCAGGGTGGAATTCTGGTCAGATGTAGTGGCAGGGAGCTGGAGGGGAGGGAGAGAAATCCCTGGGTGATTAAGAGTCCCTATCACTTACCTCCTCAACAAAGTAGGAAACAAACTAGGGAATCAGCAGTGGAAAGATGGGTGAGAAGCTCTTGAAAGCTTAAAGAAATGAAGACCATTAGATTAGAATTGCCTTTAGGTTAATTTAGTAGATGATAGATTGCAGGGGCTAAAGAAAGATTGGAAAGGAAATGATACTTAACAGTAAAGGAAGAATATAGTACTATATTAAAGAGGTAATAAGTGATTCAACAAAAGATTTTATTGTGGTGTTAGTAGTTTGTTTTGTCTCTTTTGTGGTAAAATACACATAACAACCATAACCATTTTAAAATGTACACTAGCTGGTTTGGCTCAGTGGATAGAGCATTGGCCTTCGGACTGAAAGGTCCTGGGTTCCATTCCAGTCAAGGGCACATGCCCGGGTTGCAAGCTCGATCACCGGTAGGGGGTGTGCAGGAGGCTGCTGATCAATGATTCTCTCTCATCATTGATGTTTCTCTCCCTCTTCCTTCCTCTCTGAAATCAATAAAAATATCCTTAAAAAAATAAAAATGTACAGCTCAGTGATGTTATATACATTTCATATTGTTATGCAGCCATCACCACCATCCATCCCCATAACTCTTTTTATCTGTTGTAAAATGGAAACTGTACCCCTTAAACCATGAGTTCCCATTCTCTCCTCCTATCCCCTGGCAATGACTATTTTACTTTCTGTCTTCATAGATTTTGACTACCAAATGCTTCATATAGATGGAGTTATACAGTATTTGTTTTCTTGTGAGTGACTTGTTTCATTTAGCATAATGCCCTCATATTTCATCTGTGTTGAATATTGCAGAATTTCCTTCCTAGTGGTAGTTGGGCTTTTTGTTGTTTTTTGTTGTTTTTGTTTTTAAATATATTTTTTATTGACTTTTTACAGAGAGGAAGGGAGAGGGATAGAGAGTTTGAAACATCGATGAGAGAGAAACATCTACCAGCCGCCTCCTGCACACCTCCCATTGGGGATGTGCCCGCAACCAAGGTACATGCCCTTGACCAGAATTGAACCCGGGACCCTTCAGTCCGCAGGCTGACGCTCTGTCCACTGAGCCACACCGGTTTGGCTTTGTTTGTTTTTATTTTGTTTTTAAAAGAAAGCAGAACTTAAAAATGCTTATAAGGTAAGGTGAAAAGAGAATGGAGAAAGGATAGACTGAGAACAAGGAGGAGATTGTAATGATTAAGAGAACAAGAGGAAGACTACCCTTTCTTCAGTAAGGAGCTGAGAATAAACAGGGATATATATATATAGGTCCTTGGCATTAGCCATTTGTTTAAGTATTACCTGCATTTATTTCTCTCCAAGGTCGAGGTCAAGGAGGCATTCTCATAGACGTTACAGCCGATCCAGGTCCCATTCTCACTCTCATAGGAGACGATCTCGAAGTAGGTCATATACACCAGAATACCGGCGTCGAAGGAGCCGAAGTCATTCTCCAATGTCTAACCGGAGAAGACATACAGGCAGCAGGGTATGTGGTTTATAAAAGTTAATGAACTTATTTTATCTTTAATATGTGTGTAGTCATAGCATAATATCTTGCTTTATGAGAGTGAGACCATGGTTTAAAAAGTAGTACTCAAGTCTGCCAGTGTTGCACAGTGGTTGAGTATCAACCCATGAACCAAGAGGTCACTGGTTCAATTCCCAGTCTGGGCACATGCCAGCTTGGTTACTCAGTCCCCAGTAGGGGGCATGCAGGAGGCCATGTTTCTCATTGATGTTTCTATTTCACCATCCCTCTACCTCTTCTCTAAAGAAAACCAATAAAAACGTATTTAAAAAAAAAAAAAAAAAAAAGCAGTACTTAAGAAGCATCCTTGAGGGTATGGATATTTAATGTACATTTAAGTATATTTTCTTTCCTTGACTCTTGAGTAGTTTTAAAGAGATGAAATTTGGAGAGAAATGGTATGTTCCAAAACTAAAATGGAAAGCATAATCTGAGTTGAGAATAATGAAATTAAAAGTTTTACGGCAGTTAGTGGGTAGACAGCAAATAAATACCAAAAACTATAGAAATAGCCAGCACTCATAATATGAGCACTGTGCAGAATTCTTTTTTTCTTTTTTAATATATTTTATTGATTTTTTACAGAGAGAAAGGGAGAGAGATAGAGAGTTAGAAACATCGATCAGCCGCCTCCTGCACATCTCCTACTGGGGATGTGCCCGCAACCCAGGTACATGCCCTTGACCGGAATCAAACCTGGGACCCTTTAGTCCACAGACCGACGCTCTATCCACTGAGCCAAACCGGTTTCGGCTGTGCAGAATTCTTTAATACAGTTAATATTCTTAACATCTGAGGCAAGTTGCCATGTTATGGATAACTTGAGTCTTGAATATGTGACAATGGAGCTTTGTTTTTGGCTAACTGGCAGAGTACAGATTTCAACCAAACTCTTGACTAGTATTCCTGTGCTTAACTACTATGCTGTGCTTCTCCCATGTGATACTGCAGACTGCCATGTGCATCTACTAAGGAATGAAATTGGGCAGTGGGGAGTCTAATCAGCAATTGCAGATAAAGTCAGATTGAGTACTCATCTATAGGGATGTAAAACATTTGAATAAACTAGAAATATGGCATTAAACTAAGGATGAATTCTTAGTATGCATTCTGAAAATTGCTGGGCTACAGAGTGGAGTTTCTGTTTTTACAACCTGAAGTTTATTCCACAGAAGGCAGGAGTGTTGCCCTAACCCAGCCGTGGGCAAACTACGGCCCACGGGCTGAAATGAATAAAACTAAAAAAAAAAAAAACACCGTACCCTTTTATGTAACGATGTTTACTTTGAATTTATATTAGTTCACACAAACACTCCATCCATGCTTTTGTTCCGGCCCTCCAGTCCAGTTTAAGAACCCATTGTGGTCCCTGAGTCAAAAAGTTTGCCCACCCTTGCCCTAACCAGTTTGGCTCAGTGGATAGAGCGTCGCCCTGTGGACTGAAGGGTCCCGGGTTCGATTCTGGTCAAGGGCATGTACCTTGGTTGCGGGCACATACCCAGTAGGGAGTGTGCAGGAGGCAGCTGATTGATGTTTCTCTCTCATCGATGCTCCTGGCTCTCTATCCTTCTCCCTTCCTCTCTGTAAAAAATCAATAAAATATATTTAAAAAAAAAAAGAAGAAGAAGAAGGCAGGAGTGTTATTGTGAACTGTAGGATATAACTCATTGGTTTATTTTCCTCTTAAATTATTTTCAAGTCACTTGAAACAGTATAGTCTTTGGGTAAGGTGTTCTAAGCATAGTATTTCTGTTTTAATATTTATTTTAATTTGGAGCTTTAAAATTAAACATCTTTATTCAACAGGCAAATCCAGATCCCAACACTTGTCTTGGAGTGTTTGGCCTCAGTTTGTATACAACAGAGAGAGATCTTCGTGAAGTATTTTCTCGATATGGACCATTGAGTGGTGTCAATGTGGTTTATGATCAGCGAACTGGACGATCAAGAGGATTTGCTTTTGTCTATTTTGAGAGAATAGATGACTCAAAGGAGGTAATTTTGTTTTTATAATTGTCCTTTTGAACATTTTCTGATATACATGATTATAATATTGAGTTGCTATTAAAAGTTGATTAATCGACTCCCAGTTCCATAAACGTGGCAAGTTTCACTTCTGGTATAGTATATCCTTATTGAAATCCAGCCTTGTAAAGTGAGATGTATGTTTGAGTTAATGGAAAAATGTGAAGTGTTTCTTTTTAATAAGCCTTATTCATGTTCAAAGCAGGTGATTCAGTTGACCTTTTAAAATTATGATGTTTAGGTTTAATCTGTTTAATTTTGTGCCTAGCTCCCCATGTATAGATACACAGCTTTGTTTTTCTATTCTCTAAATATTCATGTTACTCTGTTGTATAATCTATATATATAAAAGCCTAAGTGACCTGTCAACTGGTGGACCAGTCGCTATGACGCGCATTAACCACCAGGGGGCAGACACTCAATGCAGGAGCTGCCCCCTGGTAGTAAGTGCACTCCTACAGTTGGAACATCACTCAGCTGACCAGGATGTGTCGGAGCTGGATGAGCAGGAGTGCCTCCTCCCCAACCGCCTGCCACTTCACGCTCTACTACATTCTTCGGGGGATGTTGGATGCGGGTTTCAGCCCGATCAAAGCAGGCTACGCTGAGGAACCCCACCGGTGCATGAATCTGTTGACCGGGCCTCTAGTTGAAAAACAATACACGAAAAGAATTAGTATTTTTTTAAAATGTTTTTATTGATTTCAGAGAGAGGAAAGGAGAGGGAGAGAGGGGTAGAAACATCAATGATGAGAGAGAATCATTGATCTGGCTGCCTCCTGCACACCCCCTATTGGGGATGGAGCCCACAACCTGGGCATGTGCCCGGACCAAGAATGGAACCATGACCTCCTGGTTCATAGATACATCGGTCAGACTAAAAGAGTTATTAGTACCTTTTATTTTTTGTTTGGTGCCATTCTTAATTCGCCTAACAGGATGATTTGAAATAGTACTATTCTAATGTAATATGTATTGGATTATAAAGGAAGCCAGTAGGCTTGCTTTCTCTATACTAAAAGTTAATAGTGACTTGAGTTAGAAAACTCCATTTTAAGGAATTAGAAGCTCATTGTTAAGGTTTTTTCAAACCTTAACAAATGACAAGTATTAGCATTTCTTCTCTTTTTTTTATATATATAAATTTTATTGATTTTTTACAGAGAGGAAGGGAGAGAGATAGAGAGTTAGAAACATCGATGAGAGAGAAACATCGATCAGCTGTCTCCTGCACATCTCCTACTGGGGATGTGCCCACAACCCAGGTACATGCCCCTGACCGGAATCGAACCTGGGACCTTTCAGTCCGCAAGCCAACGCTCTATCCACTGAGCCAAACCGGTTTCGGCAGCATTTCTTCTTTGTACCATTTTACATGTGACAGTCAGTAGTTAGTTGGATATATAGATTATTGCTCTATATATCAACAGTGCTTAATTACAACATAATCATAATACATGTTAGCATATCTCTTAAAAATAGTAGAGGCTATTGGCATCTAGTGGATAGAGGCCGGGGATGATATTAAGCACCCTACAGTGCACAGGATAGCCACCCACAGCATAGAACTAACAGTCCCAAAGTATTGATGGTGGTGTGCTTATAAAAGTCATAACAAAATAATGCTTCAGGTTGTAAGTCCTTTAAATAACAGGCATTCTAATTGTTTTGTCAGTATGTTTTACTGTTACATATAGCAGTCCCCCCTTATCCGTCCACGGGGGATGTTCCAAGACCCCATGGATGCCTAAAACCTCAGACAGGACCAAACTTTTCACTTCAAAGCAGCACTTTTTACAGCTTTCCTTAGGCATATTTGAATTGCCAGCATTGCTGTCTTATGCTTTGGGGCATTATTCAGTAAAATAAGGGTTACTTGAACACAAGCACTGATATTATGACAGTTGATTTGACAACTCAGACAGCCAGTAAGTGCCTAATGGGGGTGGGGGGGGTAGAGTAGGTTATATAATGTGGACATGCTGGACAGGGATAGTTCACATCCCGAGAGGGACATGCACAACTTTAAAACTTAAGAATTATTTCGGCAATTTTCCATTTTAATATTTTCGTCCCGAGTTTGACTGTGGATAACTGAAACTGCAGATGGAGGCGGGGGGGACTACTTAGCTTATTTCTGTTCTCAAGGGATAAAGGTGTACATTTAGAAATTTCAAGATACCTGACCTGAAGTAAATGTTGAAGAGTGTGAACAATTAAAACTTTTTAAAATATGAAACTTGTTTGTACTCTTGATTCTTCTCCCCCCACCCCCACCCCCAGGTTTATTCCTGGGCAATATAAAATGAAAATGGCAACTTTAGTTAGTTCCAAAGAACTTCATGCGAATTTGTTAAAATAATAGAATTATTATTGTATTTATTGGTATTAGTGTTGAAGGTCAAAAGGAATACAAACGCAGGTATAAGACAGGAGCACTTACTGAGAGGTAGAGGTTCCTTTCTATTTGTGGTTCACTACACTAGATGGCAGTGTGTTCTTAAGGAACAGCTTGACTAGTTTAAACTTGTCACTTGAATTGTAGTTTCTGCTTTGAGTTGCCCAGCCTGCAATTAGTCACTGCATCCCCAGAGTTATGCAAGCTTCCCTGAGTTGTGTAGTTCCTTCTCTCTAGCTGCCCCAGTCTTTCAGCGCAGGCCTGCAAGTGTCCATGTGTACATTAGAAAACTCAATGCCATTGACATGCATATATTAGAGATTCATATGTAAAATCATATCCCCTGTTGTTTGAAAAAAGTGTTTAGAGAATTTTAATTTTTGAAATTTCAAATGGAAAGTGTTAACTTTATTACAGTTTTGATAGTCTCTCCTTGGTGAATTATGCATGACTGACTGTGCCTTTTCTTTAAAGGCTATGGAAAGGGCAAATGGAATGGAGCTAGATGGCAGAAGAATTCGTGTGGACTATTCTATCACCAAGAGAGCACACACACCTACACCAGGCATCTACATGGGCAGACCAACTCAGTAAGATTTCAAGTTTCCTAAGATAAACTATTTTAGCCAGAAGTCTACCAGATGTATCTACAAAATTTTGATAAGTCAAACGATAAAATTTTCCCTATAATTGAAATGGAAATTTATTTAATTTGTATATATTCTTTGGATCATTTTTTATATATACAGTTGACCCTTGAACAATGAAGGGGTTGGGTGCACCAAATCCTGTGCAGTCAAAAATCCACATCAAACTTTGAGCTCTCCGAAAACTTAGTTTTCCCTTAGTATTTACCAGGGATTGGTTCTAGGACCCCTATGGATACTAAAATCCATGATACTCAAGTGCCTTTCGTAAAATGCCATGGATCAGTGCAGGTACTTATTGGGGGGGGGGGGGGGATCTGTATAAGTAGGCTGGTGCAGTTCAAAGGTGTACTGCGTGTGTGTGTGTGGGTGCGCACAGGAGGATAAATTAAAATTATTGAAGTGCATTTCTGGCCCTTGGTATTCTACAGATAGAAAAAGTGTTAGATATTAGAAAAATATCATACATTCTTAAAGTATTCCCTTTCTCCTCTTCTTCTTTTTTTTTTAATTGTTTTTTTTTAGAGAGATGGAGGAGGAGAGAGAAACATTGATTGGTTGCCTCCAGAATGTCTCCCACCACGAGATCGAGCAGTAACCTGGCATGTACCCTGACTGGGAATCAAACTAGTGAGCTCTTGGTTCACGGGTCAACACTCAACCACTGAGCCACACTGACTGGGCACTTCTTAGTGTTTTGGTATTGTTTTCCAGCATAGTTCATTTCACCTTGTTGAAAAGATCCTGGTGATTTGGGCAGGGCATTAATAGAAGAGCAGTTTATAGTTTGGAGAGTTGTGTGTAATCTTTCCTGGTTATTTATGTAATGAATAAGAAGCCAAGGCAAGAATACCATGGGCGGCAGCCAACTAAGACATAGAGGTAATTGGCATGAAAGGGTTATTCTTTGCCTTTTCTCACCTCCTTCCTCTATTTTATTTTACTTAAGTACCATTTTGTATTAAGTGATACTGGAAAATAATCGTTCACATTGATATCAAATGTTTACATTTTTTTGTAGTAGTGGTGGTGGTGGTGGTGGAGGCGGAGGCGGTGGTGGAGGCGGAGGAGGTGGCAGACGTCGAGATTCTTACTATGAAAGAGGATATGAGCGTGGTTATGACAGATATGAAGACTACGATTACCGATACAGGTAATATTTAACTTGTAGTTTCTAAATTAGATGATAGTTGTATTATTTGGTGCTTTTGATTTATGTTTGATATATATTAAGAAAAATATTGGAAAGATTTTATATGATCCTTAAGAAAGTAGGAAAGAATTATTTTTTCAAAACTGAATGCATACATAAATTACCTGTGTTTGCTAGTATTTTGTCGTGTCATATACTTACTGTTTTGGTATCATTGGCACACAGAGAACTTAATAGTTATCATCTTGGGTCCATTATTATTTTGAGTGATGGGAATTTTTATTTTCATTTGCCTCGGTGGATCATGTGTATGCTAAGTAATCTTTTGTTTCCTACAGAAGAAGATCACCTTCTCCTTACTATAGCCGATACAGATCACGATCAAGATCTCGTTCCTACAGCCCAAGTAAGTCCTCTGTGCTTCTACAGCATTAAGAAATAAAGCTTCTACAGCTTTGTTTCTAATTAATGGTTAGTTTTAGAAAATTAGGGTATATGGTGACTGTTACTATATACAAGTCAAACTATAATTGTCATTTTAACTTTTTTTTCTCTCTCTTCCAGGACGCTATTGATGAAGAGAATGATTACATTTGAGGATATCTTTTTCTTTTTCTCTTTTGTTGTTTAATTCTGGATTTCCCTGAGCTTCTAATCCTTCCTACTTAAAAGGAATCCGAAAAAAAATCTTCTGTTTATTTAGCGTCTACACTTTGTCAATTGCATTGGTGTTTTCCACCCCTTTTATTATACTCTTAAAGTTCTAATTGTCATTTTGAGTAGTTAAACATCTTGAGTAAAAAAAAAAAAGGAACCCCCAGTGTTATGCTTTGGGTTTGTTTGTTGTTTTGTTTTTGCTTTTACAGAAAATTAACTTCTGGCTAATCAAAAAAGGAAAGAAATGATCTTTTTAAAGCTTCTTTTTTGTTAGATACTATATTAGAAATCTACATTTGTGACAAACTCCTTTTTTAACTTTCTTTTGGAGAAGATAGTAACACATAAAGTAGTTCAGTCATGTCAGGTTTGTCTGGGGTGTCACGGAGCAGTCAAATAGTTGAGTGTAGAAAGTTTGAAGCTATAAAACAGTCGTTTCTTTTGAAAAAATGAAAATTTATAACCTTAAAAAGGGCATTTTTCTTAGAGATGGAAAGCTTGTGGGCTCCTATAAAACATGTTCTATTTAAACTACATCTGTTAAGACTTACAAACTTTATAGTGTGATTTTTTTTTGTGTGTTGTACTTATTGAAGTTTAAGTATTCTCTTAATCAGTGAAGGACAACCCTTACTATTATTTATTACTTAGAGCAATTGTATACTTTGCTGTTAGAAATCTTGGTATGGGACAATAGTTAAGCAGGCTCTTGTATAGTTTAGAGCCCTTAGAGGATATGTCTGGGGAAGAGTAGTCTCCTTTCAAATAAAAGTTAATTTCTTTGAAAATGGGACTGTCTCTTTATTGTGTTACAAAGGGAAAATATAACTGGATTGATTTGGGAGCCAGTCCTTTCTTTTCCTAACATTTTTGCTTATATCTAAATGAAATACTTGTCTCTTATTCAGTCTTTAAAAACCTTTGTTTTACTCTCCCATTTTTGTTGGCCATATTGTAAATATTGAGAGTATTTAGTATCAAGCACCATGCTGAAGGAAAGATAACATGGTTCATGTCTTCACAAAGTCCACATTCTAATAGGAAACACACTGAAATGACTGTACTATAATGTAAGAGAAGGGTGTTTTAGCAAAGAGGTATCTATCTGATGTGTCAGGTGATCTTTATGAAAAGGTTTAGAAGATGGACATCTGTAATACTGTCAACAATAAAAAACATATTTTTTTAGTATAGGAGCATGAGCTCCTTTGTTCCTCCCCCAAAGCAGATATAAAATTAGATTATTATGATCTGTATAATAGATTGATGGGATCTATGGGATTGAAGCACCTCAGATATCTTAATTAAAAAACTACAAAATGTTTGTCATAGTTTTTCTTTCCAATATAGGCTATTCAAAGAACAAAGCAATTTCTTGTTGGTCCCTGGCTGAAGGGTTTTTGTTCTTTAAGCCAGGTTATTAAAAGTATATCAACAGCCGAACCGGTTTGGCTCAGTGGATAGAGCGTTGGCCTGCGGACTCAATGGTCCCGGGTTCGATTCCAGTCAGGGGCATGTACCTTGGTTGCGGGCACGTCCCCACTGGGGGGCGTGCAGGAGGCAGCTGATCGATCTCATCGATGTTTCTGACTTTCTATCCCTCTCCCTTCTTCTCTGTAAAAAATCAATAAAATATATTTTTTAAAAAAAAGTATATCAACAAAAAGTGATAACATTAGCAACAGTCTGGAAGCAAAGAGCCATGTGAAGAGACTGTAAACATAATTAAACGTGTGTGTGTGTGTGTGTGTGTGTGTGTGTGTGTGTGTGTGTGTGTTACATGTATGTTGATGGTGAAAAAGCAGGGAAGGAGACTAGGTAAATAAGTGGGGGATAAAAATTTAATAAACCAATCTTTGAAGTCTTCCCTAAGAAGGTGAAATTTAAGTAAATCTGAAGGGAAGGGAAGAAGCCTTATCTGGAAGGAAGAGTATGTTGGGTGTAGGAAATAGCAAATGTAATGGCCTAACAAGGCAGAAGAATACCTGAAATATTGGACAAGAGGAGACAGATGATAACCTTAAGGGCGGGGCCCTGCTGGGGAAGGGTTTGGGAGGTGTGGTTTCAACCATCCTGCAAGTATTTTTATAGAAGGGAGCTGTTGTCAGAAGTGGGTGCATGGGTATATTGCTATAGATATATGGGTACATACTGGGCTTAAGGACTAAATGTGTTATATTGCATGGGTGTGGATGTGCAATATACCAAAAAAAATGGGGTATTTCTGGGCCTCTTGTTTTTGTTTCTTTTTTGTTAATCCTCATCCAAGGATATTTTTCCCATTGGTTTTTAGAGTGGAAGGGAGGGGGAGAGACACACTGATTGGTTGCTTCCTACATGTGCCTCAACCGGGGCCAGGGATCCGGCCTGCAACTGAGGTATGTGTACTTAACTGGAATCGAATGTGTGACCCTTTAGTCCATGGGCTGATGCTCTAATCCAAACTGGCTAGGGCTGTTACCTATATTATTAAACTGGTTGAAGGTAAGAAAAACTTGTTCTAACTCCCTACAACAGTGGTTCCTATTGATTGGGGGATGAGGAGAGAATGATCATAGAGCCCTTAAAAATCTGATAAAAGTGCAATCTGTCTTCCTAGAAAAAGTAAAGATGTAAAACAATTTGAGCCAAAACCGGTTTGGCTCAGTGGATAGAGCGTCGGCCTCCGGACTGAAGGGTCCCAGGTTCGATTCCGGCCAAGGGCATGTACCTGGGTTGCGGGCACATCCCCAGTGGGAGATGTGCTGGAGGCAGCTGATCCGATGTTTCTCTCTCATCGATGTTTCTAACTCTCTATCTCTCTCCCTTCCTCTCTGTAAAAAATCAATAAAATATATTAAAAAAAAAAAAAACCAATTTGTGTATACAAATACTAGGTTTTTACATTTCTTTGCACATAGAATAAAATCTATAGGAATATGCATCAGTTTTCTAACAGTGGTAGTTATCCTGTGAAGTAGCAAACAGGAGAGGCAACTTGCAGAAAAACAGGGCAATTTTACATACAAGTTCAGGAACATTATGCATACTAGTACTTCTGGATAAAAGCTCCTGTCATAGATTCTCGAAGACTCGTGGCTGTTGTTTAGAATGTGGCTTAGAATACTTGAATTTCCTAGCAGCCTGAGAACTATGAAGCACAAATATATATATAGAGAGAGAGAGAGAGAGAGAGAGCGCTCTTCATTATGGCAATTGAAAGTCTTTATTTGTAATCCTATATGATAAAAGCCTAATATGCCACGTAGCCAGTTGGCAGTTCAACCAAAGCATGATATACTAAAGCCGCTCAACTGCTTGCTATGAAGTACACTGACCACCAGTGGTAGACAGTCGCTATAATGCGCATTGACCACCAGAGGGCAGATGCTCCAACCAGTAGGTTAGCTGGCTGCTGGGGTCAGGCTGAGTGGGACTGAGTGAGGTGGGCCTGACACGCCCTGGAGCCCTCCCAGCAGGGTTCCTCCCCTGCAGTCCAACCTCCTGCATTCCTCCTTGGCTCTGATTATGCACTGGTGGGGTCCGTTGGCCTGGCCTGTGCCCTCTCACATTTGGCCCGATAGCCTAACAACTAGTCGCTATGATGTACATTGACCACCAGGGGGCAGACGCTCAACTCAGGAGCTGCCCCCTGGTGATCAGTGTGCTCCCACAGCAGGGAGTGGGCCTAAGCTGTTAGTCAGACATCCCTTGAGGGCTCCCGGACTGTGAGAAGGCTCAGGCTAGGCTGAGGGACCCCCAAGTCCCCAAGTGCATGAATTTTGTGCACCGGCCTGTAGTGTAAATAAAGGTCTATTCAAAATATGGCCACTCCTGATGCCAAACAATGCTTTAGGCATATGAATTTCCTTTTTCCCACTTAACCTGAAATTAAGTGGATTGAATGGTCAAAATTGGTGCATTTTTGTGTTAAGAAATGTACATTAAAAGGTAAGATGAACCCAGCCAGTGTGGTTCAGTGGTTGAGCATTGACCTATGAGCCAAGAGGTTGCAGTTTTGTGTGTGTTTTTTAATATATTTTTACTGATTTCAGGGGAACATGGAGAGGGAGAGATGGAAACATCAATGATGAGAATCATTGATTGGCTGCCTCCTGCACACACCACATGGGCTCCAACCTGCATCCCAATCATGTGCCCTGACCAGGAATTGAACTGTGATCTCCTGGTTCATACGTGGACGCTCAACCACTGAGCCATGCCAGCCGGGCAAGAGGTTGCAGTTTTGATTTCCAGTCATAGCACATGCCCCGATGTTTCCATCTCTCCCTCTCGCTAAAATAATAAAAATAAAAGCATGTAAAAAAGATAAGGTGAGTAGTGAATATAGAAAACAAGAAAGGCCTAAGTAATTTCTAAGAAAGCAAAATACAAATGAAATACCAGGTTTTGCCAATTTAAACTCCCACCAATAATATAAGAAAGGGTGGTCTTTTCTTGGAGCAAAAGGTGTTCAGATTTTACTAAAGGAAAATAAGCTTTACTCTGAATTATTTATACCACAAAAATATTTCAAAATGAAATTGAGGTAACCGTTTTCAAAAACAATATGGTGAGAGAAAAAACTAATGGAAGTGAGGGGAAAAAAGATTACATGATGTTAGTACAAAAATGCATACATACTATGGCATTCTGTTTGACTAAGTTCTGCCCTACACTTAATCTTTTTTTTTTTTTTTTTTTAAATATATTTTATTGAATTTTTACAGAGAGGAAAGGAGAGAGATAGTCAGAAACATCGATGAGAGAGAAACATCGATCAGCCGCCTCCTGCACATCCCCCATTGGGGATGTGCCCGCAACCCAGGTACACGCCCTTGACCGGAATCGAACCCGGGACCTCTCAGTCCGCAGGCCGACGCTCTATCCACTGAGCCAAACCGGTTTCGGCCCTACACTTAATCTTAACTGACCCTAAAAAGGCTGTCCAATCAGGAAACCTTGCTTGGTGTTCATAGGTTAAAAACAAAGCAGTTGCTTAACACTCAAACCAGTCATGAGTCCTCACTAGGATACTGTGATGTGAATCTAGGTATGTTTTTTTATGATGGCAATTTAATCCTGGAATAGATTTTCATGGCATGATTTTTCAGACTTCTACAAATACTGCGGGGGGTTTGTGTGTGCGTGTAAGTTTGAGAGGATACTCCATGCTGGGAATGTAACATACTTTAACAATGAGAGATAAAATTGAAAAAAAAATGAGACTGTTAAAGAGGGCCTAGACTCCCTCCCCTCAAGGGTGAGCATTGACACATGAGTAATTGAAGCACCACAGTGTCAGGAGAGTGTGGCTCTGATCACTTTCATTGGGAAAAATTAAAAGTACTTAAAAAGGAGAACTGGGAGTTAAGTGTTTAATTTGTAGAGTTTCAGTTGAAGAAGATGAAAAAGTTGGATGGTGGTGATGGTTGCACAATGAATGTACTGAATGCTACAGATCTGTACACCTGCAAATGCTAAATTTTATGTATAGTTTATCACACACAAAAAAAGGACAAAAAAAAAAGCTCTCTAATATAAAGATCCACATATCTCTAACTTGGTACTATTTCTTGCTGCTGTATTCTGTAATTTGAAAGTTGTGAAATTACTAGGTTACCAATGAGATGATTGCTTGCTTTGTGACTGCTCCATCACTAGGGCCTAGAACAGATCCTGGATTGGAGTAAATATCGAATTAATGGAAGGAAGGGAAAGGGGGGGGAGAAATAAATGATTGGTAGAGCCCATTAATTTAGGAAATTCCCAAACAGAAAATTCCTTCAAATTAAACTTATGAGCTGAA